CCCCAAAACCCCAAAACCCCAAAACCCCTTCTTTCTTTTATGCTATTTTAGATATTAGATTATGCATTAAAACGTTACTTAATTAAAAAATTGTGACAATTATTGAGTTTAAAAGTCATATTAGGGAACCACTATCTCTCTCCTCTTCAGTTGCACACCTTTTATTTGTAATCTAATTCTCTTCTAATAATTATATTTTTTCTCTTAATATTTTGACCACATCTTCAAGCTTTTTACTATAACTGTACCAATTTTTATAGTTTTTATTTTGATTAAGATTTGATAGGTCAAGAATAGGAACCAGTTATTTAGATTTCTAATGTAATTTAATTCCTTGGCCACCAATTCCAAAAATAAAGTTTCTTTCACCTCTAAAGTTGTAACTGTCATTTGTTTCAGTCGCAGCTCTGGAGATAAGATTAAATTCTAAATCTTATTCATCTTCTTCAGTATGTATACGCGTGATAGTGGTTTAAGCTAACATTTATTTCAATTTCGAAACTTCTATGTTTAAATCTACAATTTACTTTTTCATTAGTTCATTTTATTGCATTGATTATAGATTAGGCTTAGTAGGGCCTGTAATTTTAGATTCTGAGTGAAGTTTTTCTTAAAGAATTTCCTATAGTTATTTTGAATTTTTCTTATCATTTTTTTTCGTGTTCATTGAGCAAAAAGTGTATAAGGTGTAAAAAAGTTTGTCAGAAACCTTTATCTGCTAATTTCTCTCATCTAGCTATTTGGTAAGATGAGTTATTTATTGGAGTGCCGTTTTCTATTATAATTCTTAATTTTCCAAGATTTCATCCTTAAATTACTCTAATTTGCGAATCTTATTTTCTGAAGCGGCTAAGTCCTCTTTTAGACTACTGATCTAATCTAATAGATCTTTATTATGGTGTTACAGAGCAATAATGTGATCTCTTATCTATTCATTTGCATCTTTTGAAAGCAAAGTTTGCACTAGTTCTTTGTTTATTTTAAGCGACTTATCTAAGTCATCGCAAAAATGTCAAAGTTCAATTAATTCTTTCTGTGTTGATTTGAGTTTAATTTATAGGGAAGAAATTTTCTTTTAAAAAGATGTCATTAAATATTGTTAATTTATAATCAATGACAAATAGTACCAATATTATTGCTAATGCTTATTTTTGGACTATGGGGTTTTGGGGTTTTGGGGTTTTGGGGTTTTGGGG